AGATACAGGCTGCCCTAAAATTATTCGGATTTCAGAAATATTTGCTCGAGAAGTGCCTCGACTATTTTGCGAGTTCCTTTCGAATTACTTCGAACTTTATCCCGAATAATCGAGCAACTTCTCATTTAGTCAAGGGTTGGAGTTTCTCGACTTGCTCGAGAAGGTTTCGATTTTTTTTTTTTGAAATACAAACGATCGTGTACGAAAGCGGACTCTTTAAACTCGAGACAGAAAATTTTAGATTATCAAAGGGTAGCAGTTATACAGTCGGTCGCGAAAATATTCGGACGCTTTGACATGAACTTTTATGTAATGTTAGAGCTATGTTAATAAATGTTAATAGCGATGTATTAAAAAATATTAATAGGGCTATATTAATAAATGTTAACACACAGCGGTTTATTAAAAGCTATTAATAGAGCTATATTAATAAATGTTAACAGAGCTATATTAATAAATGTTAACAGCGGTTTATTAAAAGCTATTAATAGAGCTATATTAATAAATGTTAACACACAGAGATATATTAATAAATCTTAATAACGATTTATTAAAAGCTATTAATAGAGCTATATTAATAAATGTTAACACACAGAGCTATATTAATAAATGTTAATAGCGGTTTATTAAACGCTATTAATAGAGCTATATTAATAAATGTTAATATAGCGGTGTATTAAAAAATATTAATAGAGCTATATTAATAAATGTTAATAGCGGTTTATTAAAAGCTATTAATAGAGCTATATTAATAAATGTTAACAGAGCTATATTAATAAATGTTAATAGCGGTTTATTAATAAATGTTAATAGCGGTTTATTAAAAGCTATTAATAGAGCTATATTAATAAATGTTAGAAGCTGTAAACAATTAAAGATCGTAAAAATATCAGTAAAAATAGCAAATGTCAAACGATCTCGATGAAATTTAACCGTTGCAAAATGCAATATTCAAGGTTAAATTATTCCCTTCGATAAAGAACTTAAGAAACATGCCTTTTTTAAAAATCTTCTTGCCATTTCAAGCAATCTTAATGTCTGTAAAATTTTTCGGACGATTATTTAGTAAACTAGACCCTCTAAAATTTCAAAAAAAAAAATCAACTCACTCGATGCAATACTTTGAGATGCATTCCCTGTTGAAAATAGTCCGAATATTTTCGCGGTCAACTGCGTGTTCGACGACGTAAGGAAGTAACAGCTTGGCGGTTGAAAAACATCGATGTCCAAAAACTGAACAATCCCGGAGCCATCCTCGCTATCTACGCCATTTCATCCCCATTCCTCGGCATTCGACCGATCACCGAAAATCAGCCTTTATCGTCTGGCACCGCACAGCATCCGGCAGCCGATTCCGTTCCGCCATCCAGAAAATGTTTGTTGCCTCCATCGAGCAGAGGGTTTCGCACAGTGTCTGCATAGTAACCGAACGACGTCGCGTCGATGCCTGCGTCGATGGCTGCGCCGGTGGCCGCGTCGGCGACGATGTTTCGCGATCGTTGCCCGTTGTTTCGCGATGAGGGATGGACGGACGGATGCAATGTCATTGGGAGCCCGCGCGGTGATCTATGGCGGCTGATAATGAAAGCACGGAAGGTGAGATACCGCGTTGCAGGCTGCGTCGCGTAAGCTATCGTTTCCGTGGAACCTGTCGCACGGCCACCCCCGGCTTCCTTCTGCGCCGCCATCCTGAAATTGCACCCTCGCAATACGCCCATCTCTTCGATAAAAGCTTGAATTATGAATATCGGTTAATTCACGGCCCCTATCGGCTCCGATACGCCTCGACGGCCTCTACAGCCTGGCCCAAAACTACGGCGCGGTCGTTTACCTTCCGATGACGTGCAACTTCGTTTTCGAAAAACCCCGATCGGGGTTCTTCCCTTGGACCTCGTGGCTCCCATACGCTTCATTCGGCTTCATGAAGCCTCAAAAAATAATTTAGAAAGAAACATGCAAAAGCCAAGGGTGTTGATCCGTTTAATTGAATTTCCGATCAGAGTATCTTTCTCAATTGTTATTCATTATTACTTCGCTGATCTTTATGCAAAATAAAAATTGTATGAATCGATTGCAGGATATAGGAATCGGGCACTGTTTTTTCCTTTTGTCAATAATTTTAATAAGTTAAAATAAATGTATCAATATTCTTGATTTCTTTTCATCGTTATCCTGTTTCAAACCTGTTGAGTTTATTATATTCAGACCAAACGCTGTTAGAAAAAAGACTCGCTTTACATTCAACTTACGCTAAATATACGCTAAAAATACGCTAAAAATACGCTAAAGATACACTAAACACATACGAAACACACACACACGCATGAGATATAAGTTAGACCGTGCAACCTCCTCGCGGTGGGTTATTCTAACGCCGGCGGCACATTTGTCATTTAAAGCGCTGTAATTTTGCAAGAAAAAATCGTATCGACTTAATTCTGCCCTCAAATTAAAGGAGAAAGTCCGAACCTTACGATGCTGTGAACGGCATGCTCGATGAAAATTGTTGCAACTCCATAGACGGTGTTAAACTTTGCACTTTTATTGAACCTTAATAAACTTTCACGAACGCATGCCCTCGGATTTAGGCTATTAAAGTCACGGGGATGCACGATATTAAAAATTATGATAAAGTATCGTAAAGTAGAGATTTCAAGCTTTAATTTAAAAGAAAAGTCATAATTTTATGACATCTTTTAACGGAGTTACGCCTGTTCAAATATTGACAATTTCTCGACGAAAAGTTAGCGATGCTTTCATTTCTCCCGAACATTTCGGGGCCCGACCCGAACCCGAAATATCGAGTACCCGACCATTCCTAGCAGCGGAATCGGTTACCGCGAGATAACCGATTGCTCTACCGTTAGTTTCCTTTCGGGCACAAAGAACGCGTCGCCGCCGCAATTTTTCCGTCGTCCCGCCGACGCGCGAGTCAACGGGGAAAATAGTCTCGCGAGTCGCCGGGCACGGAGAGCGACGCGTCAACACCTCCGCGTAATTTGTTCTTCATTAAAGCGTCACCGTATTCTTCCGGTTTGAGGGCGGCGGCGACGACGGAGCCCGCCGGAAGATTTCGCATTAGCCGGGGAAAGTTCGCGCAACTTTGTTATGGCTCGATGGGCTCCCGAGCGCTCGTCTGGAAACTCATCTGAAACTCGGATTAGGGCGCGCCGTCGAACAAAGCGACCGAGAACGGAAGAAAATAAAAATCGCCGAAAACGGGGAACGAGGGGAGGGGAATCGGTTCGCGAGCAAACACGAGGCGCGGAACGTTGCGCGTTCGAACGCGACACCGGAAGCGGCTGCAGCCGCGTGTCCCTTGTTTTTCAACGATCGCGGAATTTGTATACGCGGCTAAGAAAATACAATGGCGCGGCCGGGCAAATAAACAAGCGGCGGGGGAACGTTGGGGGATGAACGAGCTCCGAGGCGCGCCGGAGAGTGAGAGAGAGAGAGAGAGGGAGAGAAAGAGAGCGCGAGCCGAGGAAATTGAATGGAAAACGAGGCGGAAAATCCGCTACGTAACGTGAAAAGGGGAACTGAAAGTGAACGGAATCACAAATAGAGGGCAAACCGAGAGAGGAGATCATAAAGTGGTGAAAGGCCGCGGAGAGTAAGGGGGCCGATTACAGGAGAGGGCTCGCCGAGAGCCGAGCTACGGGGGAATAGAAACAAAATCCAATGGCTGCCGGCTCTGAATGAATGAAAACGGACAAAGGATGCGGCTACGACAAAGAATCTAATTGATCGTGTAACCGTGAATAACCCCGTTCGACGGCCGCCGGGAACGGCAACGGCAACACGCGAAAGAGAGGGGTCAAGGTATGGAGTACCGAATAAGAAGAAGATTGGCTCGGTTCGACCAATCTAGAGGGACATTGTTTTTCGGGGTTGTAGCAATTCCGGAATATAGATTGCATCCGTCACGTGGACGTCTTCTATTTTCACGGGGGATTTCGGGGGATTCGTTTCATCGATCCGTGGAGGATCCTCGGAGGTTAAAGGTGGCTGTCGCGCGACGTTTCGTAACGTACAGTCATCGGTATAACCTCGATCCTCTCTCGATTTACGAACGCGTGCTTCCGAAATTAGATTCGTGCACGAGAAAACGGTGACCCGACGCATGCAACAAGTCGTATGCATCTCATAAAACGAATTTAAGATACGTTCTATGAATTTTGTTGAATTTCTAAGATGGATGCTTTTTTTTCTATCGTGTAGTAAAGTGTACTTTCTTCTATGATTTGTATAGCCGTAGGTTCGATTTTACCCAGTTATGGCAAAACTGAGTGGCAGAAATTGAAAATTGCGAATACGTCAGAAGAATTTATTAATTGTACTATCTTCAATTTGTCAGAATTATTGAAAGAAACAATTTACAAGTTAATGGACGCAATTAAGATACAATTTATAAAAGGTACTAAATTGGATTAGAGTTACTCTACCATATCTTAATAATTTCGACAAATTTATATTAATTTGCTTCATCTAAATGTCCACAATTATTTATATATTATATATTACAATTATCCGCATTCTATCTTAACATTGGAACTACCAAACCAGATGACTGATTTTAAATCTTTTTTTTGCAATACTTAACATTATAAAAACGTTCCTACGAGAAATATTTGGACAAACTTCGTCGAACAAGTGTATACTGTAACAAAAATCGTATGAACTTAATCCTGAAATTCGTGTGAACGATCGCATGAACTTATTACTGAAAGAAATCCAATCTTGTAATTGTTATAAAATATACGTCAATCGCGTTTAGAGCGTTCAATTGTTCTAGCGTTAAAGAATAGCGAGCGAGCAGTGTAAGACGGTAGATAAAGAGCGAGATAATGGAAGACGGAAAGCGGTGTAACTCGTTGTTGGTCACCGGGTCGAATCATGGTCGCCGAGTTAAGAAGCGGGAAGCTCTTTGATAAATATTTACGCGTGACAGAAACGCTTCGGGGGAGGGGGGACGGTTAAGCCCGCAGAAATTGACTCACCTTAGTATTGTCATCTGGAGAACACGTAGCTCATCGTTAAGTGAATTAGCCACAGGTTGAGGAACGCCCTGGAGACACCGTTGCCATCGTGCACCGCCGCGGGCAGCTCCCCTGGATCGCAGAGAAAACCGGGGGGTTAAAACGGATTAAACAGGATGGCGACGCTTTTCTACTGCCGGGTTCCAAGATCTCTCCTTTCGTGAAATCAATTTCGTCGCTCCATTAAAACACAAACATTCGACAAACGCGCTAGGAACTTTGCGCGCTTTCGTTTCGGCTGACGGGACTCTGTAGAAAACTACTGACCGAACGTCTCTCGGCGAATTTAGTTCGCGCGTGCAAATATACGTTTCTTCGTCGAGTCTCGAAGCTTCTTTGGACGTCGATAATTTACGCATATTTAATCGGCGATTTCGTATTTTCAATGGATTTGCCGAATTGATCACGATTGGAGAGCGATCATACTTTTTATAATGCAGCAGAGTCTCTCTTATCTGAACGGTCATTTTTGCAATAAGAATATTCCGAAAGAATATTCTATTGCCTGAAAATGTTATTCGAGTTTTCTACTAGGTGATAATGTATATAAATAACATAATATATATAATATATAATACAATGATAGAATGTGTTTGGATACCAGAAAATTGAAAGAAAAAACAAATTTTAGGATAAGAATGTCTCTACTATACTTAACAATGAGATTGCAGATTACGAGCAATATATGCGGTAGAAACAGCGGAAGAATTAAAAAATTATCTTAACCCTTTGCACTCGAAGATATTTCAATTCAACAACCTAGGCATGTCATTTGACGTAGAACGTTTCTATTAGACACGATATCCGTCGATTTATGCTCGCAAAGTTGTGTATATTTATTTGTGAATCGCCTAAATTTCTGACGTTTTCTTAGACACAAACCAATTTAGCAATGTAGGAAACTAATTTAGCAATGCAACGCGATCATTTTTAATGGTGTCTGAAAGTCGCCGTTCCCGCGAAATAAATCGGATACTGCTTTCAAGTCGATTTACAATTTAAAAAGTAGATTACAAAAATTAATTTTTATCTCGCACGAAGACTTAGGCCAGTTTATTAACACTAGAACTACCAACCCAATCAAAATGACTGGTTTCCGATTTTTTCTGTCACAGTTCCTGATGTTATAAAAATATTTCTCGGAGACATTTTTAGGTACACTTCTTTTTATTGAAGTATACATCGTAATACAAATCGTAGGGAGTTTAAATAAATCCAGGCTTGGCATTTTTATAAAACAATATACAGGATGTTCCAAAAATGTCTCGCAAACCGGAAACGAGAAGTTCCTGGGATCATTTGAAGTAACTTTTTCCTTAGCAAAAACGCAACCCGTGGCTTCGTTTACGAATTATTAACGAAAAACACTGACCAATGAGAGGCGAGCTCGCCTAGCGCTTGACGGCCAAGCCAATGTTGGGTCGGCCGCCTCGCGCCAGCTGAGCTGGGATTCGATCGCTGGCGCCGTTGACTCGGCCGCCTTGCGCCAGCATATCTCGCCTCTCATTGGTCACTCTTTTTCGTTAATAACTCGTAAACGAAGCCGTGGATTGCATTTTCGCCAAGGACGAACTGACTTCAAATTACCTCAGGAACCTCCCATTCTCGGGTTGCGAGACATTTTTGGGACACCCTGTACATTAGTCGCATTTACGATTTCGGTGGTTCTAGCGTTAACGCGTCTCGAGCCGATATTTCCAGCCGATATTTAATTGTAAGCAATGCAACTCGATAGAGACATTTTTAGACGGCTCGGGTCACATCGCGCGTCGCGTGAAAAATGCGTTTCCGCCGAGATTCGTGGAACGCGAGCTGACCGAGGCTCCTCCAAGATATTAAAGGGTCATTTTTCCCGACAGTCCGCCGCTGTTAAAATGAAAATTGCTTCTGTGCTTCCATTGAGGGAGCATAAGTTGCTCCTTCGTAAGCATGATTCAAAGGCCGGGGCCAGGATTCAGCCGAGGAAAGAATTATAGCCGGTTTGTGAAATCAGGACATGAATATCGAACCACGCGTTACAAACTGCCTCATAACTGTCCCGACCCATTCCGTTCTGACCCTCCGCACATTCTTCTTCCTAATCCCTGCATAGAAATGACTGTTCCCTGCCGTTCTACACGCTCTTAAATTCTACACGGAACTCGCTACCTGTTGAAACGCCGGCGAGAAATGTACGTCACGCGATTACGCGTTCCACGATCGCAGGTGTGTCCGCGTCGTTTTCGGGACACATTGCGCAGAAATTAGCGTAGTCGCGTGACCAATTCGCGTGTCATTGTGACGTACACGATATTATTCACGAGTAGAATAGATTGCGGTGCCTCGCGACGCGTTTTACTTATGTCTGTTCGGAAGTTCTGTTCAACTTTTCACAAAATTAGGCTTAAATATACGCGATGAATAGCAGTAGTCGCTTTATCGCTGGATCGCGGATCTTTACGTGAAATAAAAATTCTTTGTATCGCGATTGGAAGAAACAGAGGTTCGATGAAAATGTATTCTTCAATGATTTTTCGAACCGTTTTCACCATTTCGTACTTCATCTATCCGAATGGTTGTAAGAAATTCCTGATGCGACTATTTTTGTTACAATTCCGAACGATCGTAATTGTTTCTAGATTTCCCTGTATTCGATACACCGAATAAATCAGTGGAGAAAAATCATTTTCGAATGTTTTCACTCGCGTCATAAAATGTTAAAACCGCAAGTGAAATAAATTATACAGGGTTATATTATAATAATAAAAATTATAATAATCTTAAAAATATAATAATTATAATAATATAATCGAGTACGACTGACGCGAGGCGGCCCAGCCAACCAGCGCACGAAGCCCAGTTCCGCTCATTAACTCGGTCGCCTCGCGCCAGCTGAGCCGGGATTCGACCGCCTCGGCCGCCTCGACCGCTGGCGCCGTTGGCTCGACCGGCTCGCGGCAGCTGATCTCGCCTTTCATTGGTCACTGTTTTTCGTTAATAACTCGTTAACGGTGCCTCGGAGAACATTTTTGTAAAGGAAGAAGTTGCTTCAAATGACCCGAGGAACCCGCCATTTTCGGATTGCAAGACATTTTAGAGACACCCTGTAGAGTTACCATGAATTATCGCCTAGGTTTACGGAACCCGTCGGAACGGCGAGCCAGTTATTCGTTAATTTCCGATTATTCGGATCGTGCAAAGAATTATATTGTCCAAGAAAATAGGTGTTTCGTTCCGCGTTGCGCGTCGGTCATCGAAACAAGCTCGGCCGCGGGTCGTCGCGTTTCGCGCGATCAATCGAGCGGTCTCTTCGCCGTCGGCTCCCGCAGAGGGCCTGGGTGTCCGTAAATCACGCATTCGTATATATTTTATTTTCGAAGCGTGGCCGTGGACAGGCTTGTAAACGCTCTCGTTCGGTAGCCAGCCAGCTAGCAGCACGGTCGCTCGTGCCTGCGACAAGAACACATTTGTCATTTCATTAATGGTTGTTCCGTCTATAGGTTTTCTGTCAGGCGCAGCCCGCCGCAGCTTGACGTATTTTGGTGGCGTCCGTTTAATCGCTCTTCGACCGAGTTACGTTTCCTAGATAATAGTTCGAGGCCCCGGGCTTTCATGAAATTAGGCAGTCCTTATTAATGGCTCTTTACACCGCGTGCGCGCGCCCTCCCACCCGCCCTCGCCTCGCATCCTCGCCGTCCGCCCTCGCCTTACACCCTCGCCCGGCCATCACGCCCTCCGCTCTTGTTCGCTCGTTCAACCGGAAACACATCCTTCGGCTCGACTTAAGCCTCCGGGCCACGGGTTAACCGCGGACAACCGTCTCCGCGTCGACGATTCCGCCGGCTGCAGCGCCTCGCGGCGAAAACTCGCTGTTTCGACCCTGTTCTTCAATCCCTGCCAGCCTTCGACGTCGTTTCTCAAGCTGCCGTTTCGTTTCTCGACGGTCTGGCTGCTCGCCGCCTGTTACAGCAAATTCTCACTAATGGACGCTCAGATTGTCGACAACTGTAAAAACGAGCCGCGAGGCTCGGATAATTGTATGTCCTCTTTCCAAATTGTCCATTTCTGGGCACAATCCGAGCGTCGATTAGGGAGAATTTACTTTAACAGTAAACCAACCGAGGTCTAAAAGCGATTAATAAGTGCTGCCTTGTACTTACAAGAGCTTACAATCCACTGAGACCGCGGATTTTATGCACGAATTACGAAGACCTAAGAACAATTTAATCATTTCATCACGCTACCTTCAAAACTTATCAAAACTATTACTGGAAACAATTTATTTTCATTTCATTTCTGTTTCTCAGAATCGGCTTTGAAAATTTCGATTTTTCACGAAGATCCGCGGTCTACTTATAAGAATTACAAGGTAGAATTTATCGAAATTTTGCATTCGAAATTGATCAAAATTTGTCATTTGTATAACAACAGTGTTTGCCCAAATAAAGGAACAGATTCAACCATTTCTAACGGAGGGAGATTCATAACTTCAGTAATTATGAAATAAAAAATATGGTAGGTTTTGTGTTAAGCCTTGAAGCGACCTGTTTATTCAGCAATTTTTCAACACATATTTGTGAGAATATTTCCTTGAAAATTGTCTGTATCAGTTGCAAGATGCAAGAGTTACGGAATTCTATTATCTATAGGAATTCTATTCTCAACCATTTTAACCGGTTGCAAATAAATTCACTGCTTTAGTGGCAAGGTATTAAGATGTAGAAGAATTAGCCGCTAATAGCTGCGATTAATAAAATAAATCTAATATATTTGTTTAATGTGCAAGTATATTTTATATTATTATTATTATATGTTATATATATATATATATATATATATATATATATTATTATATAATATTATATAATAAACACGTATTTTGTAGTATGAAATTTAATAATCTATTGGCAGATAGTTTTTCTGCTTTAGTCAGTAGAAAATTTCCCACTAACCAGATAATCTTCTGCTAAGACTTAATGAAGCTACAGTACGAAATGTCGACAATTGGCCGACGACGACCACGAAAGTAGGCGTTTCGTTGCACTGTGCGTCGCGTCGAAGACCAACATGTCGAAATTACACTCTGTCCCGAG